GACACATAAAATGAGCCAGCACACCATTGATCTATTTGTCTGTCTTTATGCCAGTACTACACTGTTTAGATTACTGTAGCTTTGTAATCTGTTATGAAATCAGGAAGTGTGAGTCTTACAACTTTGCTTTTTTCAAAATTGTTTTGGCTGCTTAGGATCTCTTGAGATTCCATATGAATTTTAGAATGAATTTTTCTGTTCAAAAAGTGCCATTTGCATTTTGATTGAGATTGCATTGAATCTATAGATGGCTTTGGGTAGTATGGGCACTAAGAATATTACGTCTTCCAATCCATGAAGAAAGGATGTTTTTCCGATTATTTATATCTTCTTTCTTTTAGGAATGTTTTATAGTTTCCATTAGTACCTCATTCTTTTTTATGGCCAAGTAATATTTGATTGTGTATATATACATTTTATTTATCCCTCATCAGTTGATGGATTGATGGATTATTTCCATCTTTTGACCATTATGAATAATGCTGCAGCTAGTATTTGTGTACAGGTGTTTTTGTGTAGACACATGTTTTCATTTCTCTTGGATTTGTCCTTGCCTTTTAAGAAGAACTGAATTTAAATAATAGCAAAGACTGCTCTAGAAGTCCAGGCTACTAAAAGGCATTTTGAATATAACCTATATTTGTTGGTTTGATTAGACATAAAGGAAAATACAGTTCTCTTTCTTTAGAAACTTAAGAAATTTCATTTCCTTCCTTAGTCCTAATCATTAACTTACTCATTCGTTAACTCAGTCATTCAACATTTACTGGGTACTTTTTAAGTACCAAGCACTATGCTTAGTAATGGAGATACAAGGATGAGTGAGAGATACTGTGACAACAAGGAATTCACAACCTGATGGAGAAGTCAAGATATTTCACAAACAACTGTAATGTAATGTGAAAAGTGTAAGATAACAAATGGATGCAAATATTTTGAGAATATAAAGACTAAGTAAAATCTCTCCAAACCATTTTATATCTTGTCATTAGGCAAGTTCCTAAAAAGTAGAACTCATGATATCTGAAAAGACTTAAATACTGCTGGGAGGTTAACTTGAAATCATTACCCTCCTTAAAAATCCTTCATTAAATTCCCATTTTCTCAAGATTAAGTTTAAAATCCCTTGATCCTGCTTCTATTCTCTAAAATGCTCTCCTTGTCCTACTTAGTTCTTACTTATCCTTTAAAACTCAGCTTAGGTGTCATCTCATCTAGGAAAATTTTCTTGCTGTTCCACAAATTCTTGGTGGGGTGATTTCTGTGCCTCCCATATTACCCTGATCATATATCTGTCACTGTCTATATCATACTATCTTATAATCATCTCTTTATCTATCCATATTCCCCTTTCTCACACAGACTATACATGTCAATTCCTTGAAGCAATCAGCCAGATCTTACTAGTATTTTTGTCCCCAGAGTCTAGCATATAGAAGGGTCCCAGTGTTTGAAGAATGGACAAATAAATTAGTCAGTGAACTAAATTTCCTTGGTTAGAGACAAGACCAAAGACATGACATCTGAGCTGAAACTTGAAGGTTGTCTAAGATTCACTAGGGAGAGAAAAGAGGAAAGAAAAAATGCATTCCTGTCCAAGACAATGTTACCTGTAAAGGAACAGAAATAAGAAAAAGCCCACCGTATTTAAGATGCGGCAAATCACTCTCTGTATCAGAAACTGGACACTTGTCAGAAGTAAAGCTCAGTGTCAGCATAAATGTTTCCCATATTATGCAAGGAAAGTCTTATGCCAGCATTACAGAATTCTTATAATAGGGTCTGTGTATTATTTTGTAGCCTAATGAAACTTGAGTGGATTGTGGCATTTAAATAACTCACTTGTTCCTTGTCATATGTATATCTCTCTATCCAGAGTTATCATTTGAGCCTCCTCAGATTTGAGGGCTATTTTTTAGTGTTTATGTGTATGATAGTATGGGGGAAGGAGAGCAATTATTACTGGAAACTTACAGAACACAGTTTTTACTTTAGTTTCCACAATCTGATTTCATCAAATTATGACTGAGTAGACTCTGTATCTTAGGCACCCTGCAGAATGAAATTGTACAATAAGATATATGAGTTACTCAGGCATTAAAGAGAGAAATCAAGTCAGATGATACTCTTTCTCTAAAGTGGCTGTCAGTAAGACCTTGGTCAACTTCTTCTACTTCCTTGAGTCCGTATCTTGCAAAAGCAGAAGATAATCAGTACTCCTGTATTTGGAGCATTATGTTAAGCCACAGTCATATCTACAACTGTCAACAGTCTTTCAAACTTAGCATACTAAGTGCTCAACCTCTTTCTTCCTGAAATATAGGAATAAAAAGAGCCATGATGAGCATGTATCTCTTTTCTTGGACTCCCTGGCAAAGACTTAGGGAGGAAAAATAGCCTGTACTGTTGATGCTTATGCCAGCACTTCATTGTAGTTTTTTGTGGTGGTGGTAACATATACATAAAATGAGATTACCATTTTAATCATGTTTAACTGTACAGTTCAGTGGCATTGAAATATATTTACATAGTTCTGCAACTATCACCACCATCTATCTCCAAAACTTTTTTATCTCCCCAAATTGAAACTCCATACTCAGTAACTCCCTATTCCCTTCTCTCCACAGCCCATGGCAACCACTATTCTACATTTTGACTCTGATTTTGATTTTGAACATTCTTATTACCTCATATAAGTGGAATCATACAATATTTGTCCTTCTGTGTCTAGCTTATTTCATTTAATTCTTACTTATTTCATAATGTCTTCAAATTTAATCCATATTACAGCATATGTCAGAATTTCCTTCCTTTTTAAGGCAGAATAATAATCCTGTTATGTATGTGCCATATTTTATTTATCCACTCATCCATCAGTGGGCACTTGGGTTACTTCCACTTTTTGACTACTATGAATAATGCTGTTATAAACATGGGTGCACAAATATTGTTCAAGTCTCTGCTGTTAATTCTTTTGAATATATACCTAGAAGTAGAATTGCTGGATATGGTAATTCTATGTGAAATTTTTGGAAGAATCACCTTGTAGCTTTTTTAGATCTCAAGGAAATAGAGGAAGAGCAGTACATAGAAGGAACATGAATGGTAGTAGCTGTTGCCAATTGTAGTAAGGGTTGAAGCTCTGAGATCTAAATTTCAATCCTACTTCAGCCACCTGTGAAATATATGACTTTGGGTAAGTGACTTACCCTGCTTAAACTTCTCTTTATTCATCTGTAAAATGAATTTAATAATGCTTTACTAGATTTTTGTGAGGATTAAATGAGTTTATATATATGATGTTACTTGGTAATTTATGAAATGCTATTTAAACATTTGCTAGATTAACTGGACCAGCTGCCAGAAAAACTCAGCCCTGGTACTATCTTTGATTATTAACCACTATTGCTGAGCTATTTCAAATCCCAGCAAAGTCATTCTCTTAGGATCTGAGCTGGTATACAGCTTACATTTTCACTCTCCACCCCAGACCTAACTGGTATCAGGTAAGGCGCTACCACAGGAGATTTACTGTGATCCGGACAAATGCCATGGGGCTCACTACCAGGGACTATCTTTTAGCTTCAGGGTCATTTGTACATGTGAATGCAAACGAGACCTTTTGGTCCCACCACTTCCCTGGTCTTAAAGTATGGTCCATAGCTCTAGGATAGCTCCAGAATAGCTTCAACCTCATGAGAATACCTGCAGCTAGAGTGTGCTAAGAAGTTCTCTCTTCCAGTTCAGGTGTCACTCCCCTAAGAGGGAAGAGTCAATGCCACTATCACTATGGATCAGAATACAAAATTTAAAATCTGTCTGTACTTCTAGGTCCTAGGATCTGGAAACCAAAGGCCCTAGGTTAGGGCTAAGGAGAACAAAGCTAAAAGCAAAAAACAAACAAACAAAAAAGACTTACCCATCCAGCTCTGGAAACAATGGAATTTTATAAATCTATATAAAGGCTGTCATGTAAATCAAGTTCTGTATTACTTATAGTCTTTGCAGAGAAGCCTGATTTTTTTCCCCTTCTCCTCTTCTTCCTTCTCTACCTCCTATTTATTATTCTATTGCTTCTTTAAAATAACAAAAACAAAACAACAATAATAATAAAGATTCTTTTTTTTTTACTATTTTTTTTGAGTTATAATAAAGACAGATTCTGACTAGAAGATTTAAAGAATTGGTCATGACTCTTGAAACATTCATTCTTGTTGGTACTAGATCCAGCTCCTGAGCTGTAGCCAAGTGTGATTGTCATCTGGAGTGGATGAATAGTGGTTTGAATAATCACTTCACACAATAGATTACTGGCCCTCTTCTTATAATCACAAAACTTTTTTAGGTTAATAAAGCCAGAATTTTGACTAAAATTAAATAGAATGATAAGGAAGCTCCTTCTTTTTGTGGGGGAGGGAGGGTAATTAGGTTTATTTATTTATTTTTAATGGAGGTACTGGGGATTGAACCCAGGACCTTGTGCATGCTAGGCAGTCTACCAATGAGCTGTAACAACCCCCTATTACCTTTCTCTTAAGGAAAAAAACTTTTTATAAAAATTTCATGTGATCATTGTAGAAAACCTGGAAATTTTCAGAAAAGTATAGCAAAAGATATAAAAGTTATACATACTTGTAACATACTAAAATAAACAAATGCTTTATGTTTTCATGTCTGAGAATTTACTTTTTGAAGAAAATCATCTTTGGATTGTTAAAGGATTAATGACACATCAACTTAAATACATCTTTTATGACTGTGTAGCTACTCATATTCAGATAATCCCTGCAGACATTGCTATTAATTGACTGAATTTAATCTTCCATTTTAGACAGTAGGATGCATCTCTTCTTTCTGTCCCCTATTCCCTAGGACAGAAATCGGGAGATCTGACTAAGCCCTTACGCAAGCTTTGTCAGACAAGTACACATGTCCATCTTGTTTAAGACTGCCTGTTTAACCCATTGCACTCGCCATTCATATTTTCCTTTCTCTTACAGATGGAATGGGGCGAGTCCTTGCCCAAGATGTATATGCAAAAGACAACCTACCCCCGTTCCCAGCATCAGTAAAAGATGGCTATGCTGTCCGAGGTAAATATTTTGGTTTGCTTGAGTATCAGCGTACTCACACTGTATTTTTTTTTCTTCATATTTTTGGCTCAGTCACGCACCTATTGACTGCTACATCTGTTTCCTGCTTGGCTGTCAAAATAATTTCACTCACAGATAACAATGTTAATCTACACCTATACATTTTCTGACACAATCTTGATTAAAACTTTTTCGTGAAAGTACTCTAGTTACTCAAAAATTCTTACTTATAAAGAAATATGTAGAGATTGATAAAAACACTGTACCATAATTTATTCTTTCAGCCTCTACACATACCAGATAGCAGACAGTCTTGGTCTGGAAGTTTTCCAAATGTTTTCTAATTGAAAACATCTATGTGGTCCAAGAAAGAAGAGCAGATTCCCAACACAGGGATAAAGAGGGCAATTTTTTCTTCTACTTTAAACGCAGACATCAACAAGGGCTTCATAGAAAGCAAGCATGAGGGAAGCCTGTAATTCCCTGGAAGATTCCATATTTCAAAGCTTTGAAGCCCCAGATGGTACCAGCAGCTCACGCCTTCAGAGTTGCCGAGAATGTATAAAGCTCAAAAGCAAATACTGAATAGCATTTGCCTGCCTAAAGTCCAATCTAAGAACCCAAAATGAAAATGCAACTGAATTGCTTAGAAACTATTATTGGTTATTAACTCTAGGTCGATATCATATCAAGAAATGTCTAAAACCATTTCCCAGTTTATCAGAGCTATTAAAAAGGCCAGTTCCCTTTTAATGGTCATTTATGGAGTCCCTTACTTGATTTTTTAGTTTGGTTTTTTTTTAACTCTATCTAGCCTTTAAATAATTTCTTCTTTCTTGTAATTGAATATATTCATTAATTGCCTCCATGTTCCATCACAATCTCTTAGCAATCGTTTTATGTTGGAGGCAGTAGAGCAAATGGTTAAAGTTCTTTTGCCAGTTCCATCTATGTAACTTTGAGCAAATCACTTTAACTTTTTGACCCCTGGTTCTCTCATCTATAAAATAGTGATAATCTTACCAGTACTTACCGCAACAGGTTACTGTGAGCATTAAGCGAGACCACAGAAAGCCTTCAAGGAACTGGCACCAAAAAAAAAAAGCACTCAATAGGCTCTTGTTTCTTATTCCCCAACCAAAACATAAATTCGGTTTGAGCTTATAATTTGTAGCCATATAGGATTGCTATGAAATGACAAAGAATTCTTACTTCCAAAGTAGAACAAACAACTAATAGCAGATGAAACACCAAAGGAACAAGAAAGTCTGTTTTTTACATACTTGGGAAAATATAGGAAGAGAAAATGAGAAAATAAATTATTTGAGGCAGAATTATTCTGAAACAGAATGTTGTTCTGTGATTTTTACATGAAGTAGTAGCAGCTCAATAAAAAGAAACTATTGCTGTTAGTTTTTTTAGTTAGCCCACATGAAACATAAAAGAGCCTTTCTGCAGCTATAGAATCTATCAGAGAAATTAATTATTCAGTATATCATATCTTTTGTTTTAGAGTGATATTGTTTTTAGTTATTTCACAAACACACACAGATGTTTAGAATGGCATCTTATAGTATGAAAGGTTCAACAGGTAACCTACCATGCAGTTAATTCACATTATTTCTTTCCTATGAAGTGTTGCTAGTTCTCTAGAATGTGGAACATATAACAGAGACATAACACATAACAGATAACCATCGTGGATATGGTTAAATTTCAAAGTGAACATGGTTAGTGTGGGTGTATATATTATAAATAGAAATAATAAATCATAATTAAGGCAGCCGAGGTTATCAGTGAACAAAGAGGCATGGTTTTGGTCTTTTCTGTGATGTAATAGCGCCCCCTGGCAGTGTTTTGGTGAAGAATATCCTTGAGGCTATTGTGGCTCTCTCCCACTCCACATCGCATACCGTCCTCTTTCCACTTGTCTTCCTTTACTCCCATTCCTTTCTCCCACTCCATTTATTCTCCCTTTTTTCCTTCTCCTCTGCCATTGCCTTAGGCCTTCCGATAATAACCAGCGGCACCTGTGAGCACTGCTAACCCTCTAGGTGTAAAGAGGTTACTAACTTGCTCTGGATCACTAAGCATTAGCCAATATCCTTCAGAAACATGTGGGATAAAACTCCAAACCAGTTGGAGGAACACTTGCTTTAAGGTATGTGGGTTGAAAAATCAAGACAGTAAAAAGTAGCTAAAGAAATAAGAAGTAGGAACACCTTTTTAAAAAATAAGAAAGAATAGAATACAAAGAAGACAAGAATCAAGTGACAGTGATATAAATGATAGAAAGACCGGTAACCTAGTAAACCTAAAACTGCATTCAGGACGGAGTGAATTTGAAAGATAAAAGCAGAGAAAAGAAATTGAAAGTAACATATTACCAATTAGAAGCAATGCAATAGTTCTATTCATATTTCTGAAACATTATTTTTCCCTTCACATTGATTAAGCTAATCATCTTGATACATTCACACCCTCCTATAGAGATGTGGGTGCCCAGTGTTTCACAATTTCTTCTTAGATGTTAATAAAGTCAAAAATATCTCAAAATACCGAGTTCAGTTTTCTTGAAAATGTTCAGTTTGAAAGGCGTATCACTTCAGAATTAGTTTTGGGATCATTTAGGAAAAGAGAAAATTATAAACAAGCCAGTAATTATTATGAGAACCATGTGTAACCAAATTCTGGGAAAATATTGTAAGATAAATCCTTGCCATCTAGGTAAAGTAAATTTTTAAGTTTTTTTTCTTTTTTACATTCTGATTGAAGCACATGTTTATAGAAAATACAGAAAATTAAAAAGAACATTTTTAAGTTACCCATTATTTCACTATCTAGCTACTGTTAACATTTTGTTGTAGTTCCTTCTAGTGGGTTAAAATGCATCCTAAAATTCAGTATAACCTTTTTGATTTTGAGCTAGTTCTTAGTCTCTCACAAAAGTCATGTTCTATGGTTTCTGTTTTGTCCATTTATATCCTGTTTGGCCATAGCTGGTTCTCCAAATCATTTGACAACCTACTGCTTTCTACTGGCAGACACTTTGGTTGAAGAAGAGAGCCTTATGATACGGGAGTATTACTTATATGAAGAGAGATAAGTTGGAATAATTACTTTTAGTTAATTCCAAGAAACTTAAAATAATATATTTAAGGAAATAATACATCTTTCCCCAGTACTAACAGTAAGTGGGCATTTTTCTCCTAGAAGGTGATGGTAAAAAATATAAAATGCCTTCTCATCCATCTGTCCTATTCCTAGTTCCCTGCTTTCCAGGCAACAGATTTAAAATTCCAAACAACTCACCTGCTTTAATCCCACAGTGTCACTGCAGTAAGTGTTAATCCTGTTGTGCTACTCTTGTCAACTTCCTTTGCCCCTACCCTAAACGCTTTCTCTAATGTTAATGTTACTATACATATAAATACTAACATTAAATAAATACATGTATATTACATATTCTATAAATTCTATTGCCTGTCATCCATTCTTAGACATTTTGGTTCTGTAATTAGAGTAAACAAAGTCTTATTCCCTCTGCCTTATTCCTCTGTTGGAGATATTTCCTAAGACCTCTGAAAGTTATACTATCTCTGTGGCCTCCATTTATTCAGCCCTCCATGGAAATGATGAGACTTTTATTATTGAAAATAACTGCGTAGCTGTAAAGATTTCAAGAGATTAAAGAGAGCCCTCCTATGGCTGGAAAATGAAAATGAGGGATAATTCTGAGGCGAATGGCTTGGGAACTATCATTTTCTATACATTGCCATGATAAATAGTTATCTAATGTTATCAATTTTATGTTAAATGATATAATCAGAAAACTTAAACAGGTGAACAAGACTAAAAAGTGTTTCTGGACACTGAAAAAAGAGGGTGGAAACGGAGCAGCTTCAGGTTCATAATTAAGCGTTATGAATTACTTATATAGCACATTTGCTGTTAGGATTTGGTTTGTATTGCTTTTATCACTTCCTTCAAATTAAATTTCACAGTTACAAAACAGAAAATAAAACTTATTAACAGAAATGTCAGAATTAGGGGGGAAAAGAGTCTAAGCCTCTACAGAAACCCTTGGAATCCATCCATCTTTTCTAATGTCATACTGTGGCTTACTTAGTTTATTTCATTCTAAGCTTTAGGGTCTATCTGCCACCATAGCTCCACTTCTGCCCCCTCCCACCCAAGCTGGTAGAATTCATCTTGAAAATGGCAACTTTTCTTTCACCTGTCTCTTTAATAGATATTTTAAAATAAATAACAGCAACTTAGACTGATTGTTACTTTTCTGTCTTTTTGAGAAATAGGAAGGCTTGATGTTGATGTAAAATCAGGATTTCTGTTGTAGTTTACTAATTTTTATTCCTTAAGTTTTCTTTTAGTCTGAATTTGTCTGTACTCAGTTCAGTCTTAACTCTGCTCCTCTAAAAGGGTAGTCTTTGAACCAGCTGCATCAGCATCAGCTTGTTAGAAGTATAGAACCACAGGCCCTATCCCAGACCTACTGAATCAGAATCTGTTAACAAGATCTCCAGGTGATCTGCATACATATTAAGGGTTGAGAAGCATTATTATAAATGGTAAAAATGACTCCTCCACTGGTACCAAGAACCTTTTATAATGTTGGTTGACTGAGCCTTCTTTAGCCAGCAATATAGAGGCATGTTTCCCAGGTGGAAATTTTCAGGGCAAGGTGGAGAACATAAAGTGAGCACATACTCCCTCCCCTGTAGTGCACCTTACTTATAACAAAGGACCTTGCTTCTTAGAATCATTAAAGGGTTTTTTCAGTTATTGGCCTCCCTGACACTCTGTACCACCTTGCCCCAGATTATCTCTAGTCACTCATTATTCAGCAACATTTGTTTGGCACCTTTGTGCAGAACATTGATATGAGCATTTTGAGTGTATGTGCATTACATGAGTGAGGGAACAAGAAACAGGAGGAAGACTGAAGAGCAGAGTGTTTCAAAAAAGAAAGAAAAGAAGTGATACCAACCCCTAAGGAACTCATTATCTAGCTGAAGAGATAAAACATACGCATTTATGAAATTAAGAAAATTTACAAAGTACAATACTAAATGTGTAAAAGTCAGTGTACAGACTTCTCACCTTAGTATTATGGAAATGCCAAATTCATTTCTGTATTCTTTTAACAAATATTTCTTGAACGTCAGTGATGAGCTAGGCACTATGCTAGATATAATCTAAGTTACACAGGATTAATCAGAGCAATCTTTCTGAACATTCTAAAGGTGGTGAATGTTGACTCACATTTTGAAGAAAACCATGGACCAGCAGAAAATGGGAGACATTCAAAATACAGCATTCTGTGCTGGAAAATATTATTTATTTGTTCATTCATGCATGCATCTTTCTAAAAAGATTCTTAGGAGCCACACTCATTCATTTATTGAACATTTGAATACTTCGCATATTGAACTTTTTACTTAATACCTGCTCTTCAGCAAGTACCAGGAATTTCCCTGAGACAAATAAGCAAGTGATTACAAATACCACAGGAAACCATAATTAGAGTTATTTCAGGAATACACTGGGGAAACAAAAGAGATACAGACATACGTCATACATCACAAGCTAATGATATACACATACATATGTATGTAACATATACAATACGTATAAATATATATAAACAAAAGTAAGTTTCATGAGGTAATATTCATCCTCACCAAGTGACTCTGGAAGGAAAGAAAGTCAGATACAACTTCATAGAGAAGAAATATAGAAAGAGATAGAGGAAACAAAGTTGGCAAAATGTTCGTAATTGTTGAAGCAATGACTTCTATGTCTGTTTTTAATCATTTCATTTTTTTCAGAAGAAAAAAGAACCCATGAAAGCAGCATAATAACACCATTGCAGGAAAACTACAATATTCTTGTTTTTACACGTGAACACTGAAAATATTATAGGATTGCAAAAAACATAAGAAAGCCAAGAGTTTATTAACTGAGACAATGTCTAAAAAGTACAGGATGTAACATTCAGTACATAGAAGACACCCAATGTTGTGTGTGTGTGTGTGTGTGGGTATTTTATTGAAGTACAGTCAGTTTACAATGTTATATCAATTTCTGGTGCACAGCACATGCTTCAGTCATACATGAACATATATTCATTTTCATATTCTTCACCATAAGTTACTACAAAATATTGAATATAATTCCCTGTGCTATACAGTATGAATTTGTTTATCTATTATATATATATGTTAGTTAGTATCTGCAAATCTCGAACTTCCAATTTATCCCTTCCCACCCTCTCCCCCCCACCTGGTAACCATAAGTTTGTTTTCCATGTCTGTGAGTCTGTTTCTGTTTTGTAAATAAGTTTGTTTGTCTTTTTTTTTAGATTCCACATATAAGTGATATCATATGGTATTTTCTTCCTTTCTGGCTTACTTCACTTAGAATGACAGTCTCCAGGTCTATCCATCTTGCTGCAAAGGGCATTATTTTATTCCTTTTTAATGGCTGAGTAGTATTCCATTGTATAAACATACCACAGCTTCTTTATCCAGTCATCTGTCAATGGACATTTAGGTTGTCTCCATGTCTTGGCTATTGCAAATAGTGTGACTATGAACATTGGGGTGCATGTATCTTTTTGAATTAAGGTTCCTTCTGGATATATGCCCAGGAGTGGGATTGCTGGATCATATGGTAAGTCTACTTTTAGTCTTTTGAGGAATCTCCATACTGTTTTCCATAACAGCTGCACCAAACTATATTCCCACAGTGTAGGAGGGTTCCCTTTTCTCCATACCCTCTCCAGGCTTTATTGCTTGAGGACTTTTGATTGATAGCCATTCTGACTGGTGTGAGGTGATACTTTATTGTAGTTTTAATTTGCATTTCTCTGGTAATTGGCGGTATTGAGCATTTTTTAATGTGCCTATTGACCATTTGTATGTCTTCATGGGAGAATTGCTTGTATAGGTCTTCTGCCCATTTTTGGATTGGGTTGTTGGTTTTTTTGTTATTAAGTTGTATGAGCTGCTTATATATTCTGGAAATTAAGCCCTTGTCAGTCTCGTCTTTTGTAAATGTTTTCTCCCATTCCATAGGTTGTCTTTTTGTTTTGCTTACTGTTTCCTTTGCTGTTCAAAAGCTTACAAGTTTAATTAGGTCCCATTTGTTTATTTTTGCTTTTATTTCTATTGCCTGGGTAGGCTGCCATAGGAGAACATTGCTGAGATTTATGTCAGATGTTTTGCCTATCTTTTCTTCTAAGAAGTTTGTAGTGTCTTGTCTTATGTGTATTTAAGCCATTTTGAGTTTACTTTTGT